AAACTTTGTCAAACAAAAGGAAAAACGATGCTCTAATGGTAAGTTATAAGCTTTAAAATTGCAAGCAAGTCTTCAAAAGAAACCATTAGAAATGTTCTAAAAGCAGATTTTAGAAGCCCCTGGAAGACCTGCTTCTAAGGATGTGAAAAATTCCAAACAACCTAAATGGGCATACTCCTATTTTTCTCTATGATGTAAGACCCGAAAAGGATCGGCCGGTTCGACCCGGAACCCGGTCAACTGGCCATGTGTCCGGTCCGGTTGAGCATTAACCCGCAAATATGATCATAACCGAAATTGACCGTTGACCCGCTTCAAACCAGGATGGACCTGAACCGTCCTAAACTCGTAAAATGCGAAAAAACCAAAAAATGCGTCGCCAGCAAGATTCAAACTTGCGTTGATTGCTTCTAATATAGACCTACTAACCAATGTGCTACACTAGGTACTTCGGGGTTACACTTGTTTAGCTTTTCTTATACCATATCAGCATGGGATATATTTATTAAGTCTTAATTAATTAGTCTATTAATTTATTAATTTATAATAAAAAATACTAATAAATACACACCAATACTATTATTATTATACTTTTCGATTATGTATATAATTTTCCATTTTTTTAAAAAAATATAATTGGTATTGTGTTTTTATTTATTATCCAACTAGATCAAATGTATTTTTAATTTTGTTAAAACCAATATACTTAAATACTACGTATAATGTTTTTTTTACATTGCTTATAGGAAAAAATGCATACATGGTCCCTCAGTTCATAGATACATAAATCGCTCAAACTTTCATGATCTGCGTTCAGAACGCCGCGTACCCAAACATGGTACGAAAGCGTTCCAAACGCTACTCGGATCGCTTTGTAAAATGCTCCTGCAGTCGTTTGTGATCACTTCCCAAATCGTTCCCCATCGCTAGCTAGGTCGTTCCTAAACGTAATTGGAGTTGACCGCGACGGCATACATGTCGCGTACTCAAACGCAAAATCACGAACAGTCTCGTCGTTTCCCCAGCCCTACCAGTTCGCTCGCAATTTGAAACAAAAGTGCAAAACTTAATCATCGTCTGACTCGTTTGATTTGCGCAGGTTATAATTTTTGTATGCTTCGTTTCAGACGCCTATAGTAATAGACGTACAGTTTTCAAACCAGCGTTCCAACTCTTCGTTTTCTGGCCCCAATTATTCCTACTCATCCATTTTACATTTTAATTAACTGTTATAAATTGATGGAAGATGCTCTATTCTTCATACACAATCTTCTTCTTCTACTCTACTGTCTACTCCCTCCTTACCCGTTTTTGCACTTTTGACTTTATTCTCTTTACTGAAAATGGTGTTCGAGTCATCTTCATCTACACCAAAGTCCCCAGCAACCTTTAATGTTGATGATAGTGACACAGAAATTCAAGAAACGCAAGTTACTCAACAAACTCAAACTGCTACACAAGCTAAGGATGCTGCTGCAATTAATGCAAACAAACCATTGCTTGAAGAAGTTACATTTATCGGCAGTGGTGACAGCGAAAATGCAGGTGGTGCAAAACAGTGGGTTTGCAAACATTGCAAAGTGAAGTATACAAGTTCTTATACAAGAATTCATGTTCACTTTTTTGGACTGCCTGCGGGAAAAAGGCAGAGATCAGAAGGTGTCCAGCAGTCCATAAAGATAGGCAACAATATGAAAGGCTTTGGAGTAAAGTGAAAGAGGCAGAAGCTGGCGAAGTTGCAAAGTCCTTGAAGAATTCTCTACTGTCCATAAATGTATCCTCGAAGAAGCGCTTGGAAGAATCTTTCAGGCTATTAGAAAGAAATGCGATTGACTTGAAGATCGTTAGAGGTTTGTGTGCAAATGGCATTCCATTCAATGTGTTACGCAACCCTCAGTTTATTGAAATGGTGAATGCCATCAAAAAGGCACCGGAAGGATACAAACCCCCTTCTAGTGAAAAGGCAAAAACGGTATTGCTCAACGAATGTGTTAGGGATGTTGAGAAGGATCTGACCCAAAAAAGACACGTGGTACACTCAGGAGTGTCAATTGTCTCAAATGGGTGGTCTAACGTGAAGCATAGGCCACTTATCAATGTTTTAGCGGTGAATTCCTGTAGTGCAATGTTCAAGTACGTGAAAGATTATTCTGGAGTTGAGAAATGTGGAGTTGAGATTTCTAAATTTCTTCTTGGGGCTATTGACACGTTTGGACCAAGTAATGTGTTACTAGTTGTCACGGATAATGCAGCTAATTGTAAGGCAGCCGGACGAGAAATCGAGAAGGTACACAAACATATTTTTTGGTCTCCTTGTTGCGTACACACTTTGAATTTAATTTTCAAAGAGATGGAAAAAGAACTCCAATTGTTGCAGAATACATATAGAAGAGGCAAGGCAATTGTTAAGTATTTTATTAACCATACCCATGCTTTAGCTATCTTTCGTGAAAACTCGAGGTTGGAGTTGTTAAAGGTTGCAAAAACCCGATTTGCATCCCATTACATTTTCTTAAAAAGAGTGATGGATTGTAGGGAGGCTCTTGCCTCAACTATTTTTTTCAATTCTTGGAGTGAATGGGTGAGAAGTGGAGATGAAAATGCAAGAATTAATGGGGCTAGTGTTGGTGAAACAATTAAGAGTGGTGATTTTTGAGATGATGTTAGGAATGTTTTGACAATTACTAAGCCTATTTTTCTACTTATACAATTTTGTGATGGTGATGGCCCAAAAATGGGTGAAATTTATGAAAGGATGGATAATACGTTGGGCAAAATAAAAGACATCATGGAGGATAATGTATTTTCTTGCTATTACCCGGATATTGAGAAATTTATTCTTGCTAGATGGGAGAAGATGACAATCCCACTTCACTGTTTGGGCTTTGCACTAAACCCAAGATTTTATGATAAATTCTATCTTGAAAAATTGGCTCAGGGTGGTATTCCAAGAAAATCACCGAATCAAGATAAAGAGGTTGTACTTGGTGTTATGGAAGCTTTCAAGAAAATTGCAGAAAACCAAGAAGAGGAAAGGCTGTTATGGGAGCAATTTGCTACATTTCATATGAAGAAAGGGATCTATTCAATGGTGGCAACACAAGTGACGAGCACTTTGTCGTAATGCGTCAAAATAATTTCGATGCTAACACTTATACATAGTATAGTGAAGTAGAGTTCGTATCCACAGGGAAAGAAATAATTCTCTTTTTATGAACTAGTAAATGAAAGGGGGGTTTTGGGATTGAGTGATTTAATTTTATTAAACACTAAGATGAACGACTTATATGAGTTTTAATTCAAAGATAAAAGAGACTTGGCTTTGCTACTTTCCACTTTTTGATATATTTAGTCGATCCTTGTTATATCTATAACTTATCCCCTCTCGAATACTCAATCGAGGAGTATCTCCAATTCATCGAGGGTAGTTATTAACAACGACCGTTCATTAATAACCCTTACTATTAATCAAATATAGAACAACGTCTTATACCGATTTAATAGTAGCATTTAATCTTTCTAACTCCTTGATGAAATCAATTGAGATTGATAACATCAACACAACGGTTTCGGTTTAACCAAAAAAATTAATCCCTCTTAAGTTTATTAACCACGACCGTGCATTAATAAACCGAAGTTACTTACTTGTGAAACCATCAACGATTAACCATCAGTTCGTTGATCGTTTCTAGTAATAATCAATATTGAGATATTAACTAATTGTCATCTTAGCAACACTCCCCAACATTAATATAGAGATAGATTAAGGGAAGAATTAATATTCAAGGAGAGAAGTTAAGAAAATAACTCACAACTTTAATAATCAACAAGTTTCAAGAGCAAAACCAAAAAATGGAAATTTAGCTCCTCATTTGGAGACTAAACATGCTAGAAAAATATAAAATACTATTCTAAGTTGAGCTTAAGTATATGGAAGAAGGGATATCAAAATGGGAAGGAAAAGAGGTGAATTTATAGGTGTTTTGGTGAGGTTGGGTCTGATACCCAGCCAGGTATAGAGGATACCCGACCGGGTATCTATGGCAGTAGCCACGAAAGTGGTGAAATCTTGTAAGGATAGCGTCGCTGAAACTATAGTGACACCAATTTAGTGTCGCTGAAACTTTCCGCGACACTTAAAAAGCGTCGGAGAAAGTGACGGCTAGCGACACTAAATATAGTGTCACTGATTGCAAAACAAAATAGTGTAAGTAAATAATGACACATTAATGGGATGCAAAATTATGACATATTGGTATCATAAAACTTTGTGACACGTTGGTATCATAAAAATTACGACACATTGGTGGCATATAATTACAATAACATTATAACTATAATCATTCTATTACTTCTTTCTAGTTCTATTACAAATTATATAAATTATAGAAATATTAATAAATAGCCAAAACAAAACAACAATATCTATATTTATTACTCAAATAATTTTACAGTGTCAATATCAACAAAGTATTACATATATTACAAGATGCTATAAATCTACACTTTAATCATACAAAATTTGGGAAAAGGGGCAAATAAGCCCTCAAACTAGTTGAAAAAGTGCAAATTACCCCTTTTATAGGAGGCTCTGTCCGGCCATCACCATTTGGGGCTGTTAACGGTGGAATGTTTTGATGAATATTTTTGAGAATCTTCTTCATTAAGTCTAGTTTACCCATACCATATTTCAGACAAAATGCAATCGGGAAGGCAGTCAAATAAATGTTTGAAGATAACTGCGCAGTTAAACAGTGTAGTATATTTCAGAAAATCATTTGACTGCTTTCGCGGTTGAATTTTTAGCTGAAATTAGATATGGGTAAACTAGACTTAATGAAGAATATGCTCAAAAACATTTATCAAAAAATTCCACCGGGAACCTCCCCAAATGGAGACGGCTGGAAAGAGCCTCATATAAAAGGGGCGATTTGCACTTTTTCGGTTAGTTTAAGGGCTTATTTGCACCTTTTCCCTACAAAATTTTTATGTGCTACACGCTAGACATCATAGTTCCTGGCATCACCATAAAAGTCCAATAAATCAAATCTTTAGAGTACTTCTCAATATCTGGTTGAACATAGCTTTAGCATCACCAAAAAAATCCAATAAAGCAAGTCTTTAGAGTACTTCTCAATATCTGGTTGAACATAGCCTGCATAATTGTTTAACTTAACAATATTAATAATCAATAAGTTCAACAAGTACATCAACATCTAAGGATAAAATTAACACAATTCAATATTTTCCGTGCTAGAGCTTATAATGATTATTATAAAAATAGTGTGACAAATCAGAGAACAGAAACTACCAAGACAAAAAAATAGGATATCTACATAGAGAGGAAATTTAAAATTTTATCATGCTAAAAGTATAGCAGGCTTCAATGAGGAGAAATTTAACTCCAGTCACATTCTCTTCTACACTTCTAGTAGGTCAATCAAGAATTTTATATAGGACCTGCCATTTGAGGAGAAAGAATAATGAATGGAATTTCGAGTTCATGATAACTTATTATAGTGGGTGGAAATGTAGATCATAATTACCGATTGACTCTTAGGTACTAGAAGATCAAATTCATCAATTAACTGAATATAATATTAGGGAGGCTGAGAATCTCTCTTTACCACAATATGATCCACTTGAGAATCTCTCTTCCGAAAGTTTGAGAATCAAAATCATCCACTTTACACGTCCTGCATCAACCTCAGACTTGAGGTTCCTTATTACCCATAACACACTTGTGGTTTGAGGTGCATTGCAGATAGAAAATAAAGTAAATCTGACTAAAAAAGACATTACTTACCAGTTGAGTAGCTCCACATTAAGGGTACTCCCAAATCCAATGTATACCTTTCATGTCCCAGGAACACCTTTAATGTACAACCACTTTCCCAGTCAATGATCTTCACATAAGGATCCTACGATAAATGCAATTATATCTTCATTTGTTTGAAAAAGAAAGATTCAAGAGAGTATAAATTAATGACATCATTAACATAAGAAGTCCATTTAAGATGAAATTGAATATATACATACCGATTACGACAAGGTATACACTTGAGAATGGTTGCTAACATTACTTGTGTTTTCATCTGACACTTATAAGTAGCTTCAAGATAAAAATCATATTTCACCAGCCCAATAATATCATATTAAGGAAAAAAGTAAACTTCTAACATATTCAATATCTTAGATAAGGTATACTTCGTATATTATTAAGTAGAAGGGAAAAATAAAAAGAAACAAGTTGATATGACGTTCTAGATAATTTCAGCACATTTCATCCTTTATGAAAGAACATATAATAGTAGTGTAACTTTTACAAGCTTTAGCTTCTAACTTTGGTTTCTTGCTAGACATTGGTTTCTTTTCCAGTTACATGAACCCTTTCTTTTTTCTGTAACCCCAGTTGTCATCTTGTTTTTTGAATCAAAACCAAACTGGTAGCCACCGTTACCCTTTTCTAGTATTATCATTTAATCTGAACAACTCTTAAAACATTAAATCAAGCAATCGACCTCTGATGGCAGAATAGATCAAATTCATCCAAATTGAATTAAGACACAATACAACAGGCAGATTGAACAGAGATAGATAAATTAATTTAAAACATGATATTGTCATATTCATTGAAGCATATGATAAATCAGTGAGGGCTGCTGGAAAACCCCCAATATCAAACCAAACAATTAAGAACCAGCCTGGATAAAAGATGCAAAACTGGGACCCATGGAAAGGATGGGAGTATTTTTTGGAAAGAATTAAGAACCAGCCTGGAAACAAAATTGAATTCAAATCAGTGAAATGTGTGTGTGTGTGTATGATAAGAGGATTAATAAGAAATATTTGGGATAGATTAAAAATGGTACTTGGAGTGAACACAGATGATAACCTTAATTGCTAAATTAGCAATAAAATCCAGTTCTTACACAAAATTAGATAGTAAAATCATACCTGATGTCTTCACCAGAAAACATGCTATCTTCAAATGTCTCTCCCTTTGATGTATAAGTTAAGCTGATGTCATCATTATAGTCATCCATCTCTTCCAGCTCATCTGGAATGAAAGAAGACACATTCACATCGTAGTTCCATTGATCCTCATTCATATGCTCCACGAAGATCTCTACCTCCCTATTTTCTGGCAGCTCATAAAAAATGTTGTAAATGTCTTCATATGTCTTTATTCTTCTCACGCTAGGAAATTTCCCAGAACCATATTTCAACCAAAAGATATCCTTCTTAGAGCAGAACCTTAGCTTCTTGACTAACTTTCTTAACTCTAAGATACTTGCCTCCTCTCCATTGAAGTAATCAAAGTACTCTACTCTCCCATTCTTATATTGAACCACAGGTTCATGCACCAAATCTCCCGCATAATACATCTTGATTGTGTAAGTATGTCTTTCATCCTTAGTCTCTACAAAACATATCAAGTAATACAAATACTTCATTACTCAACAAATACTTTCTACAAATACAAACCATAATAAATACAATCAAAGATTAATCAACCACACAAAGCCAGAGTCCTCCCATTATTATATACAAAGCATAGCCAATAACACCAACATTTCACACCAAAATCGTACATGTAAATGACTGCATGTGAACTACGGATATTATACAACCCATAAATGTCACCGTCTTTACCATTAGAAAACTTATATAACGACATAGAACTTTGGTTAGGGGTCTTACGCTTCAGAGTGACATTTAAACCATTTAATCTTCGACTGGTCATCCTTCCTCCATCACAGCTTGGACCGTCAAATGGAAAGCTGACCTTCAACAATCGAGTGCCACGTCCAACGAAACGTTCATTTTCAGAGAAGTATTTCAGGTTTAAGCAAATGATTTGAATTTGAGAGTGAAACATGATAAAGACTTGAGGTAATGAAGGTTGAAGAGAGATACGAAATTAGGGATTTAAACCTTTAAGGAAGGGAATTTACGCATTTACCCTTGATAAAATGGAAGACCGAATGCTGTTAGTTGGACTTCTAACGGCGGGGACGACATTTAATGTAAGTGGGCCAACTCGGGGGTGTAGTTAGAAATCTCAGAAATACAGGTCTGAGATTTCCCTTTTATATTGTATTATCATTATTATATTATGAAGGAATATAATTTTTATATTTAGGAATTTAATCTTTTATATAAATAATTAATTAATTATATGTATTGTTGTTGACCGGGTTTATAGTCGTTGACCCGGCTGACCCGCCGGGTCCGGGTTGACCCATGACTGTAATCTGTCCAGGTCAGTTCCTGTAGACCTGTCCCCGGTTCGGAACCGAACCGGAACCGGAACCGGAACTGAACCGGCGGTTCACGGTTCACCAAATGCTCAAACCTAAACCGGAACCTTGAAGGGCCGGTTCAAGGCGGTTCCGGACCTCCGGTTCCGGTTCCGGTCCGACTTTTTTTTTTAATTTTTATTTATTTATTTAGGATATTTATTCGTATTTAATTAAAACATTATGATATAAGAACAATACTTTGTGAATCAAAGACATACATTGTGATATAAAAAACATTAAAGATGTCATACAAATCTTTGTAACTTATTTTTTTTTAATAAATTTGAGCATGGTGAATCAAAATAAAACATTACGTTTATTTAGGATATTTATATGTATTTAATTAAAACATTAAGATATAAGAACAATACTTTGTGAATCAAAGACATACATTGTGATATAAAAAATATTAAAAATTTCATACAAATCTTTGTAATTTATTTTTAATAACTTATAGAAATCATTTTTTAAAAAAAAAATCAAAAATTCCGGTTGTGAACCGGAACTACCAGTTCCGATTCTCAAAAATCTCAAAAACCGAACCGCCTCCCTTAACCGCAGGTTCGGAACCTTGTCCGCAAACCGGTTCCGATTCCGGTTCAGGTTCAGGTTCACTTTCCGGTTCAGAACCTCAGGTTCGGGTTAAACCTGAAACACCGGACAGGTCTAAGTTCCTGGACCCGTTTTTACTACGTAGTTTTTTTTCCGTGCATAAAAGAACATCGCACTCCTAAAGCTTGTGACTGTTGCGAGTGACAGGCCTACCTGAAACCCACCGTTCATGAGTCATGCCGGCGCTCTCCGGTCCACTAAGTCCCAATTAGAGTGAAATTCAGAGTAAACCATGAATTTTTTTTGATTAAATCCCCGTAAGTATGGAGGAAGAAGACCTCCAAATTTCTCTGGACAAGCTCCCAATCAAACGCGTAGAATTCGTCGAGGAAAACGGCGTTGAACGGTTTCCTGGGTATGTTTTTCTCTACCTCCCCGCGTATATTAGTCTATGTGCGTTTGGATGTATACAAGCTTGGAATTCATACGATTTTTTGTTTTATTTGAAGGGATGTAGGGTACGATGAGAAAACAGTGAGCTTGATTAGGAGAATTGACTTCGGCTGGGCGGTGGAGAGAGAGGATCCAAGTAAGAAGCAGAAAAAGAGTAATGCTGATTCAAGTTCTTCCTCAAAGGAAACGGGTGCCAATCAGCCCTGGCCGTGGCAGAGCTTAGTGGAGAATCTTCAGCTGGCTCATCAAGAACTCTCTGTCATTATTGATCTCATCAATACTGTAATTTCTATTCTCAACCTCGTTTTATTAACACCAATACGAATAGTGTATAATAATTAGGATAGGTGATTCCATTAATATGGTTGAAGTATTGACTATACTTTAACTTATGAAACGTAGGGTTATGCATAATTCTCACTGGTGGTGTATCATTAGCTGGGAAATTTTTCGTATGACTTAAATCTCAAGAAGGAGCTGGTGGTTTATAAAATGTTTGGATTTATCTATGCAGAATTGCATACGCATAATATTCAAGAAAGAGCTGATCATATGCAAATGCAACAAGAATCTGCATTTGGATCTTGTCACCTCTTAATCATTTACTCCCCCGACCTGAAATAAGCTTCACACTTACTATTCGTGTGGTCAACCTAAGTCTCTTTTAATAAATATTTATAGAGCAAGTACTAACACTAGTTTTTGTGTAATTAGGCGAGAAGAACTTTATCATCACTCAAATATCATACACAGAGTCTGCATATTTAAAGTTATATTTTCTTGCCGTATCTGTTGTTCTGTTTAGGTAGAAGCAAATGATGCTGTAACAGTGGCTGGTATGACCAGGCCAAAGCAATTACCTAATGAGCTTCTATCTGACCTTGCTGTGTCTATGGCTACCAAGCTGCAGAATTTCCGGGTGTGTTTAATTTTTTGGGTATCTTGATGTTCCCATCGATCTAATATATACTCTTTATTTGTGTTAATGTTTTTTAACTTGCTGTGAGTCGACCTTTTTTCTACCCTAACAATGCATAAGTTTCTTCAATTTCAGCACTTGGGGAAGTATTTTAAGCAATCTGCAAAAGCATTAGAGAAGCAGGTAGCTAGGGAAGCAAGATTCTATGGTGCTCTGATTAGGTGAGTTTGTATCTGTGTTATAGGGGCAATGCTTGTCTGCTAGGTGTATGGTTATCATGGCATTGTTTAGGTGATGTTTATGTGTCCCGGCAATGGAGAATGCTCGCCAGTGCATGCAGTAGGATAACCAGCACAAAATATAGGGCTTGTGACTTGGCCAAATCAAAGAGTGAAAATAATGCAACGATATATATTTTAATATGAAAAGGGTTTACAAAATATCAAGTGTAGAAAACACAATTGATTTAACATTCCAATTCAAATTTATATGTGTTCTTTATTTTAACTATTTTTTACTCAATTTTGTGTGGTAGTTACATAAAAAATTTGTGTGAAGGAATAACTAGATTAAACTCAGGTGGCCATAGCTCATTTCTACTGACTTTTTCACAATTGCATTATAGGTACTAAACAGTAAAAGAAATTGTGACTTTTTATACTTTAGTGACTATAATAGTTACTTTAGTGATTATTAGTATGTTCAGTTACACTTTAGTGACCGTGACGGTATATCCATAATAACTTGAATCACATTTTTGTCCGTAAGTTTTATTTCAGTAATATATGAAGACAAACCTCATAAAATAATTCATTAGACCAGATTTGGGTGGGCCATGGTCTTGTATGACCCCTTCCTAACTCCGCTACCCATGAGGGCAGTCCACCTGCCTGAAGAGAGATGTATGTTGAATGGCATCTCTTCGACATTGACTAGGCATTCATGGCTGTACTGAAAGTTGATTTTTTTCCAAATTATTTTTTACCTGGCACACCGAGAAACATTTTTCCTGCATAAATAGCCCAATCAAACCTGAAAATGAAAACCCTAAATATAAAGGTTTATCTGGCTGGTTGCTGCCTTTAAGATTTCATTTTCCCTATATTTTCTTCCCTTTTCTCATTTTTCTGCTTCTCTTCTCTTCATTCTTTCTTCTTTATTTATTTTTGTAGTCAACATTTTTCGTTATATACTTTTTTCTGCATCTTTAGATGATGGTCAGATGAATCACATCAAAGCCTTTCGCTATTATTTTTGTCATTTAATTTATTGGAAGTTGCTATGAAACCCTTGTTTTAAATTAATATGATGAATTAGTAATTTATATATTATACTTCCTCCGTTCTTTAATTCTTGCAACATAGCAATTTTTGCACTATTCACAGACAATACTTTGACGACGATTTTCTACTAATATACATAATCAAATTATTACGTATAAAATGTTATAGAATTCCTATCAATGTGAATTTCCAAAATATCAACCTTTTATAATGTTTACTAATACATAATTAAATATAATTACAGTCAAAGTTGTGTGTTGGCAAACGTGAAAGTCAAATTGTTGCAAGAATTATAGAACAGAGGATAGTATGTTCGAACATACAAGTATTTGATACTTCCAATCGTCTACACGGCAGCGTATGCGTCAAGGTGTTTCACGGGTGCCACACCTGACATAGCCTCCGTGACAACCTTGACTAGATGTTTTTTCTTAAGGTTTTGAGAAACTTCTGCATGCCCCAATCAATTACTCTTCTTTGGTTTCACTTTTATCCAATCAATGTGTATTTTTTAGTTCATTTCGTGATGAATGGATAGATTGCAACCTTGACTAGATGTTTTCTCTTAGGGTTTTGAGAAACTTCTGCATGCCCCAATCAATTACTATTCTTTGGTGTCACTTTTATTCAATCAATGTGTATTTTTAGTTCATTTCGTGATGAATGGATAGATTGCAACAAAATTGGAAAATTAAATGGCATCGAATGGTGGCTGCTGCTTCTGGAAATGAAGGATTTTACATCGACTTGATCGACAATACATTACATGATCCGGCTCTTTTATTTCGTCCTTCTTCTGCTTCTGCCGTTCGTATTGAGCATGACTCCGATGGAATGCTTGCTGTAAATTTGCCGCCTAACTCATGTAAAACGCTCCAATTTGAGTTTCTTGGTGCATATTCAACTGGTAATGCCATGAAATCTACCATGACAGAAGTGAAGGACAAAACTAAGGATTCTTCTGGAGAATCTAAGAAAGAAATAGACGACGAAAAGCATGTCAAAGAAACACATTGTACCCTACGTGAAGTCCATAGAGCCATATTTGATGAGCAGGTATTTCTGTTGCAGCGTCACTGCTCCGAGTAACCATCACCACAATGCAAAACTTCAGTTGTTGAAGTAATCAACCACGCGTCCTTATTATGATGCATCTTATACTCTGTCTAACTAAAAACTGAAAAAAAGTTGCTTCGCAAATTCAAAAGTTTTTTTTTCCTCAAACGCCCTTAAAATAGAATCCTCTTTCATCAAAAGGAGCTGATTCTTTTCCGCAAATTAACCAATTGTTCGTCCAAATACAAACAATACAAATATGATATATTTTTGTAAACAATAGAAATAATCACAAAATTTTGTGATGTTTAAAAGTTGTACT